GATGGTCGTTCCAGGGGCCCTTTCGGTTCGTGACTCCTGCAGGACTTGAGTACCCCCTCCCAGGAACCTCTCCAGCCTACATTGCCACGCAGCTCGAGATTGCCTGGCACGATCGCCTCGCAGAGCGGGCTGCTGCCAAGATGGGTGTTCAAGGTGAGCAGCTCGACGTCGCAGCACTCCGCACTGTCCTCAGGTCCGCCGACTTGACCAAGCAGCAGCGCGGCACGCTGCTGGCCTTTGCCACACAGAGTATCTGGACAATGGAGCGTGCCCTGTCTGCGGGATATGATGTGCCCCAAGGTTGCCCATGTGGACACCACAAAAATGACCTCCAACATCGCCTCCTGGAATGCCCCAAGACCGCCAATGCCAGAGAAGAGTTCACTAGTGGGGAGCTTCGTAGGTTGGAAGACCCGATCTCTGGCACCTCTCCCCTCCACCTCGGGTTCCAGTTTAAGCCCGAGTTCGTGGGCTCCCCCCCTCCTGGTACTGGCCTTGAGGCCGCCCAGTTCTGGTGTCGAGACCCCCATGTAAGGCCTGAGGAAGCGTTCAAAGGGGATGTGTTTATAGACGGCAGCTGTACGAACCACGGCCACTATGATTTCAACGCTGCAGCGTTTGCCGTAGTGTGCATGGTTGATGGCGACGAGTTTGCCACCTTTAGTGGCCGCGTGGGGGCCCTGGGATCCCAAACCTCGGGGGCGGCTGAGCACCTCGCGGCCGTGGCGGCTGGTAGACTCTCGAGTCAAGTCGCCAACGTTTACTCTGATTATAAAGGAGTGCTGCAGTTGCACGGGGAGGCAGGTTACCCCCGCCAAAACCTTTGGTCTGGTTGTAAAGTTCTCGCGGGAGCGGTTATTTCGACCTCGGCCCCAAGCTCCAGAAAGTCAAGGCTCACCAAAATCTGGAGCTGCTATCACCCGACAGCGAAGAATATCGCATAACCAGAGGTAGCGATGCCGCCGATAGGATTGCCAAGGCCGCCGCGAACCTTGGCAGCCACCCCAGTACTAACGAGACAGAGCAGTATCAGAACGACACTGCTCTGCTCAAGAAATACCTACGATATGTTTCCAAAGCCCTTGGAGAGTGGCCTGCGATTGCCCCTCGTAGGAACAAGGCGCTGGCCAAGCCTGCTAAGAGCCTCTCTCCCCCCTCGGGGGCTGCCTCGGCCTTGGCCTCTTGGGGCCAAAGTGCGCGATACCGAATGTTGTCGCTCGTGCGGCCTTCCTGTTGTTTGGACTCCGCGGCCCCTGCTGCCCCTCCCCCTCCTCCGAGGCCTCCCCCCCTCGCCTCCGAGGACCCTGGGCCCCACAGGGCCCACCAGTGGCACCAGAGAGGCTCCAGCTGGCAATGTGTTGCGTGCAGACAGAGGTGTGGAAGCACCCAGGCCAGACAACGTCGTGACAAGGAGGTCTGTCCTGGGCATTGCGCGCTGCACAGCGATTTGCTCACCAATCCGAAAGGACACCTCCCATATTTCTTCGGTTTTGCGGATGACACCATCCCCTCGAGTATCATCCTGTGCTGGAAGTGCGGCTGCTTCGCCGAAGGCACCCGAGGCACAGGGTTTCAAGCTAGATGCCCAGAATTCCCGCCGAACCACGGTCGCAAGCTGCAACGACAGCGAGCCATGGAGGGTAGACACCCCAAAGGTGCGGCCCGTTCCTCGATTATTTTGAAAGCTCCCATCCCCTTGGCACAGCTAGCAGAGGAACTAGCTGAGCCTGACGCTGCCAGCTTCAACGAAAGCCAGCCGAGCAGCGTCGCGAGCTAGCCAAGGTCATAATCCGCACCGTGTTCACGAAAGCCCCAATACAGGGGATGCGGATTTCACGCCCAAGACGGCGAACCCACCCACAGTCAGAGCGCTGGTCCTCCTCCTCCTCCCCGTCCTAGCCCCGCCCGGCGCCCGCGGGGAGGGGGGCGGCCTGCTGAGGTCGGGCAGGCGCTGGCATGGATTTCGGGGCCCGCGGATCTGGCGAGAGAGTCAGCGCCGGATCCGAAACAGGTCTTGTAAAGTCAGCGGGCGCAGGCGAACCGAGGCAGGAGCAAGCGCCAGTCGGGCAACGGGCGGGACTGTAACAGGAGGCCAGCGCCGCCTGATTGGGCGACGGTGCGCGCCGGCTGTACAGTGGAGGCCAGTCCACAAGAACCCCCCCACACAAAACCCAACCCTGAGACCCCAGGACGTCCATTGATTTTTGGTGTGGGAACATCACGCTTTCCATAGCAAGCCGCAAGGTGTTTCTTGGCACGGGCTTCCACTCTAAGTGGAAGCGGGCCCGTCGCCAATCCACGCGCACGAATTCACAAGTGCGTTTCCGCCCGCGCGGGGCGACGGCGAGTGCACCCCGCGTCGCGGAAAGATCGTGGGGGGGACGACGTCGTCGTCGTCCTTTCAAGACGTCTTGGGGCGCCCATGGGGGGCGCGGTTCGGCAGGTTGGCCAACGTATGGGCGCCAGGAACGGTCCGGAGGCCGATTTTCAGGTGGCGGAAGAAGGGGGTGCGAAATAGTGGGACAAAGGTTTTCCTGTGATTTCGGTCTTGGGGGGACCGTTGCGGGGGGACTCGCTCAGGGGGGGGACATCGACCCGGCGATACGTCGCCGACTCCGATAACGCATCCGCGCGCTCCTGGGCGGGGCGGGCTCTCTGGACGTTACTGGCCATCAGTCGGCGATCTGGGGGGACGTCGCATCCCCCCCTGAACCCGCCCCCCCCGAGCGTTGCCCCCGACGGGCGGATTTGCCGGCGCCGCCTAGCTTGTCCCACGATGTCCAGCAGCCCGTCGCGCGCCAGTCCTGGGGCAGATAGTGGCCAGCGTCGTGTCCTGGGGCAGCGCTACCCAGCAGCTGCGCTCTCAGGCGCACATTCGCCTCCCATTTTCGCGTGTTTTGCGTCCGCTTGGCTGGCGAGCCGCTGGGAAACCCGACTGACTGGTCAACACCATGTGGCGCAGCGCAGCAGCACGGAGGACAAAGCACTGATGCAAAAGACCCCAAGCTGAACCAGTCGTAAACGCACCCAGGAAATACCACGCATTCTTCGAGCGAGGAAGGCAGCCGATCAGACAATGGTGTGTTCATACCTTGTCTTTCTCCTCCAACACAATGAAAACGCAAACCGCGTCTCCAACGCAAGCGCGGCAGAGCAACCGACGAACACACAACGGCAACCAACCAGAAAACAACCAAACACAGCAAGGGAAGGGGCAACCGAGGGGCCGAGCGACCGAGGCACAGCAGAGGGGCCACGAGAGCGATCAGTTGCAGAGACTGCGCGTGTGACAGTGGCGCGCGAGGGTCCTCGGGTTTCATCCTCAAAATTCCTCCTGACTCTGGCGGTCTGCTGGCCCGCCGGAAGGGAAAGAGGACGAGGAGGAGGAGGGGGAGGAGGAGGAGGAGGAGGAGGAGGAGGAGGAGGAGGAGGAGGAGCAGAAAGAGAGAGGAGGAGCACGCGGAGGAGGTGGGGGAGGTGGTGGAAGAGGCGGACGAGGAAGAGGAGGAGACGGAGGAGGAGGAGGAGGAGGAAGACGAGGAGGAGAAGAGAGGACAAAGAAGAAAGAGGAGGAGGAGGAGGAAAAGAGACGGAGGAGGAGGAGCAAGAGGACGAGGAGGAGACGGAGGATGGGGCGAGGAAGACGCCATTAGAAGATGAGTCCGAATGGCCCCGACCGTTCCGGAGGGGTGGCGAGGAAAAGGATGAGCATGGGGGACGGGGAGGACAGAGGAGGAGAAGGAAAGGGAGCAGGGAGGATGTGAGGAACGGGGAGTAACTAGAAGAAGCAGGATGAGAAGAAGGAGGATGAGAAAGAGGAGAAGGACGAGGAGGGGGAGGAGGAGAAGAAGGAGGAGGAGGAGGAGGAGGAGGAGGAGGAGGAGAGGGAGGAGGACACGCGATTCGAATGACTCCGCCGAGGAAGCGAGGGAGCCACCACTGACTATAGGAAGGCGCGGCTATCCAGAAGCCGCGTGGGTGCCACCTCGTAAGGAAATCCCCGTGCGCGCGTGACACTTGGCCTTAAGATTTCTCATGGCCGTGGAACGAAGCCGACTGGTCTCCAAGTCGACGGGGACATTACAATGGGTCATCAACATTGGGGACTGGCGGGTAGACAGTAGACAAATGGGCCTTCGGTGACCATGTGGTGTCCCCGAATAAGCCGAAACGATGGCTCAGGGATGCTAGACGCAGAATCGGGCCCACTCGAGGCCGCGTTAGACACAGCGGCCCCCCCCACTTCAGCAGCCCCGCTGCTAGCGACCGCCCGCCCCTGATCGCCAGCCGCGACTCCCAGGGCGCGATCCGCCGCCGCGAGGGCGATCGAGATGGCCTCCTCGCGGGCTGCCGGCAACGGCGCAGCAGGAGGAGCAGAGGCGGCAGAGTAGCGGAGGCGCGCACGAGCGCGCGCCATCACTCCCTGCAGGGCCGACGGCGCACACTCCGCGCGCCCGAGTCGCCTCCGCAATGTCTGAGAGCTCGCCGGGGCCAGTCAAAGGCCGCATTGCCAGCTCGACCCGCGCCGAACCAGCCGGCGGCGTTGCCGCGCGAGCTGCGGATGCGCAGGAGGGGCAGCAGCTCGGGGGCGGCCTCGTGGATGTCCTCCACGGTTGAGCCGACCGCCGCCATCAGCCACGCTAAAAGCTCGGCCTGCTCCTAAGCGCCCAATATCTCGGCGCGGACGACGTCGCGGACGGTTTGGGGCAGCGCGCGCAGCTTGGCCCCGACCTTCGCGAAGATGTCGACCCGCGCATTGCGGTGGAAGTGGCCAAAGTGGCGACTGTCGGCACCCTGCAAAAAAAAAAAAGCAACAAATAAAAGAACCAAATAAAAACAAAAAAAAACAAAAGCAACAAATAATCGAAAAAAAAAACAAAAAGATATTAACCAAAAAAACAACAACACAAAAAAAAAATAAAATAAAAAAAATAAACCCTGCAGGAAGAAGTCCAAATCTTTGCGCGCCGGGCACCGCGTCGCTCCCGGTCGCGGGAGGCCGTTCATTTGATCGAATACGCCGCGCCAGATCTCAGCGCACTGGCCCCGCGCGCTGGCCAGCTCAGGGCCCTGGCTCTCGATCTCGGCGGCCAGGGCCGACGAGTCAGCGACGGCGCGGGGGGCGCGCGGCGTCGGGCGCAGCGTCCGCCGGAAAGCCTGGCGCCCCGCGCGGCCGACGGCCTGGCGCCGCCCAGGCAGCGCGCCAAACAACGCCCCGACGAGCATGTCGTGGTCGCCCAGCTGCACCGCGGCCCATCCGCAGCGGCAAAGCTCCGGCCGCGCGGCGTCGAAGCCGGACCGGTCGTGGTAGGCCATCGCGCTGCGTGAGTTGAGCGGCGACTCCCAATCGCCCCAGCAGCGCGCCTCGGCCTCCAGCGCTGCCGCCCTGACCAGCTGCGGGAGGAGCGGCAGGCCGACCACCGACTCGAAGCGGTCGTGGTCCTGGTGGGCAATGCCAACCCCAGCGCCATCCTTGATCCTGTCGCGCAGCTTGAGCAGCTTCTCAGGCAGCTCCTCCAACTCCCCTCCGTCCCCGTTGTCGCCTCGCGTCAAGATGCGCGGACGCTCATAGAACGGATGCCCCTTGGCGCACGGCGCGTCGCCTGGGCAGAATGGACAGACCGCCGAGGCGAGGCAGCCCACGGCGCACCTCTTAACCACGTCCCGGGAGGCCCCAGCCCGCAGCTCGCGCAACTGCCCAGCCCGCGCGCCCTTCGCCACGGCCTTGGGCGGGGCCAAGACCCTGCGCATAGCGCGGCGCCACGCCACGGCGTCGGCTGGCGCCGCCCCATGGAGGCTTTGATATCTGCCGACGCTGCCATCGAGCGATGCCCGCTCGAAGGAGGTGGGCCAAGTCGTTGGGCGGCGTCTGCAGCAACTGCAGTATCTCGCCTTCGTCGGTGACCTGCAGCAAGCTGCAGTGCATCGCCCAGCCGATCCTCAGCAGGCACATCCACGAAGCTGCCGCGGGCCCGCGGAGCTCACGCCATGACGGCTTGGCCTCGAGCAACTGCGCCTCCAGCTTCTGCCGGGCGCGCTGAAGCCTCGCCAGCGGCAGGCGCTCGTCCCAGATGAAGTCGCAGCACTTCGTGGCTGGGAGCAGGGGGGATCGAATATCGGGTCGAGGTGGGGATCCCGCTGCGAGGCGAGGTGCAGCTCGAGGGAATCGGAGCCTACCCCGCCACGGCCATTGCAGAGCATGGCCGCTGGCCGCTGCCGAGCGGAACCTCGCCCGGTGCTCGTCGGCGACCCCGCCCGGGGCACCGCGGCCCCGCGGGTAGCAGATGGCAGGAGCCCTGTGCGCCACAGGGTTTGCGCAGCCCCGCCGTCCTCCGAGCGCCGCGACCCCTGGCCCTCGAGCCTTCAGCGCATCCAGCCCGTCCTTGGCGATCGCGCGCCGCGCGCCGCGCGCCGCGGCCGTGGGCGCCATGCCCCAGGTCGCGCGTCCCAGCGCGCTCCCGGAGGCGCAGCGGGCGCGCCGCAGGGGCAAAGGCCCGCTGCGCCTCCTTGGCGGTGGCGAGCCAGCCCGATTTGCTGGGCTCGACCCCCCCCCAGCGGCTCCGCGTCGGCCGTGAAGCTCGCGACGGCGCGGCGGGGGGTGCAGCGGCCATCCCCGACCTGCTCGCCGATCCACTGTGGCGACAGGCCGTCCAGCAGGCTCCTCGGCGCGAGGTCATCCGCGACCCTCCGCAGGCGCGTCGTCGCCCTGTAGAGCATCGCCGTCAGCGGCCCCGCGCCGCGCGCGCGCCCGGCCAGGGTGCTCTGGCGCGCGCGCGCCTCGCGACTCCATGAGCCGCATGCGCGAACGACCGTAGGCATGCGGAGGTAGCCGATGAGCTGCCAGCACAACCGCATGGGGGCACGGGGTAGCGAAGCCCCCGCGCCTCCTCCAGCGCCGGGCCCTGCGGGACGCAGTTGAAGGCCTTGTGCAATTCCGATCGATCGCGAGGCTGGACTCGCCAAGCAGGTGGGCGATCTCGGCCGCGACGTTGTGGCCATGCGCCGAATCCACCGACGAGTAGCGCCGCCAGTGGCCGAAGCCGCACTCATGAGGATGCTGCCCTGGCCCAGGCGCGGGCCAGCGTGGAATCGAAAGCCATGAGGCCCGCGCCGCCATCTGGCTTACAACCGAGCCATGACGTTCACGATGCGCTGGGATGGCCATGATAGCATGGCCTCGCACCGCGCGAACAGCAGCGCGAGCGCGGCGAAGGCGACGTCCGAGGCGAGCCACATCGCCCTGGGACGCATGCGGCCATCGCCCACCGCAGTCTGCCAGCTTCAGGGCTGCGTGGGCGGGCGCTAGCTGCGGCCCGTCGAGCGGCGGCAGCCCGGCTCGATGCATCGCCAGGCAGCGGCAGTCAATTGGCGCCGTGAGCGCACCGCAGCTCCTCCCACTGGTCCATGGCCTTGTCGGCCAGCGCGCAGGGGTCCGCCTGCCCCGCCCGGCTCGACCCCTCGCGGCGCTCCTGGGGCCCAGTGGCCCGATGGGCGCATCCTGCCCCGTTCTTGAACGCATCGTCAACCCAGCCGCGCCACCTCGCGGCCGCCGCCGCCTCGCGCTTCGCCTGGATTCTGGACGCCCGAAATGGATGCCTCAACAACAAATGTTGTCCCAAACCAACAGCGGCCGCCGTTGGGCAGGCGGCCTTCTGTCTCAAATGGACACAGGCCGCGGCGGCGTGGACAGCGAGAGCTGTCAAGAACGAAGAGGAACTGCTGCTGGGCATTGTACCCATGTTTTCCGCACCCATTTCGGGCGTCCAGATGGAGGTCCTCGCGCGCCACGACACGGTCCCCCGTGCGCTGGCCGGAGGAGGGAATGCTCAGCACCTTCAGGCCAAGCGCGAACAGCTGCTGGACCTCGGCTGGGACCTGCCCCCAGATGCGGCGCGCCTCGTGAACGCGGTCGAAGAAGGCAAACAGGTCCACCGCGTTCTTCGCCACCCCTGGCAGGCGAGACCCAGGGCCGCGCACGCACAGCGCGATGAGCTTCACGAGCTGCGCCCTCGCTCTCATCACGCGCTTGGCCCACCTCGCGATCGACGACCATGCCAGAAGCTGGTCCGATGGCCTGAGCCTGAACTGGGCAGGGTACCACTGGACACGGACCCACCCAGTGGTTGACTGCCCAGGTCTGGCTTCGTAGCGCTCACGCTGGCGAAAGCTCATGATATCCCAGCGGTCGAGGAGCTCAGCCTCACGGAGCTGCAGGGTCTGATCCCAGCAGGCTTGCAAGTCACCATCCGTCAGGGCACCTCCAAGTGTCTCCTGGAGGCGGGCCCATCCCCGCGCGAGAGGCGGTCGAGCACAACCTGCTTTCAACACAGGCAGGGCAGTAGGCCCCACAGGGACACGCTGCCACAGCATACGGTCGGTAGCCAACAACGGCAAGTGAACAACAGCATGGGCGGGAAGCGGAATCGTCTCGTCGACCTGAGCGGCCGCTATCCTGGGCAGAGGGTTGCTGCAACACGCCGCGAAGTCGATCACCTCGCCAGGTAAGGACTTCCTGCACGTCGGCACGCCAGGTTCCACAATGATACCGCTGACCGTGCTGATCCACCGCTGGTCGAGGTCCGCCACCGTCATATTCCAGTCGCCCATGGTGACCCAGTCTTAGCTGCACGCCTGGAGGGTGGCCACGTAGGTGGCTAAGGTGTGGAGCAGCTGGGCGTTGGTGGCGTTCATGCCCCCGGCCGCGTGGAAGTGCGCGGCCCTCCAACGAATGCGCCCAGCAGCAACGCGGCCTCGCGCCGCGGCCCCCACAGGACCGTCAGTCCAGCCATCCCTGGGCGCTGGCGGCGCCGAAATCGCCACGTGCTGGGGCGCGAAGACCGCCGTGCGGCCTGACGTGCCGCCTTGCCCCGTCGAGCAGGCTGGGGCGAGGATGTCGTGGTAGCCGAGGTCCAGGAGGTCGCGCTTCAGTTGAGCCAGCCCTGCAGGAAGCACATGATGTTCCTGGGCCGCTATAACCTTGCACGCAGGCTGCAGCGCCTTCAAGAAGCTCTTGAACGGCCCAGCGTTGTCGCCATTGGCCGTGACGACGGTCCATTGACCATCGGCGCCGGGTCCACCATGTTGCCATCGGCACTGCCGTCAACCTCCATGGGATTCGGCCCATGGACCATCCACCTGCGCTTGGCGACGGCTACGTTTCGTACTGACGTCTGTGCTGACGTCGGCGTTGGCGTCGGCGGCCGGGGCGGCTCGGGGCCGGTCGCGGCGGCGCCGCGTGCGGCGGCCTCCCGGCGCGTGCCGGCTCGCGCGGAGGCGCCAGCTGCGTGGACGAAATCGCCCAGGCAGGGAGACCCCCCGGGCCACCCTCAGCGGCGACCCCAGCAGCAGCAACGCCAATGGCAGCCCACGCGAAAGGGCCTGGCGGGCCCCAAGCGGCGGTGCCCCCAGCGGCAGCGCGTCCAGCAGCCTCCTGGCGCGTGCCGGCTCGCGCGGAGGCGCCAGCTGCGTGGACGAAATCGTCCGCGCAGGGAGGCCTCCCTGGGTCGCCCTCGGCGGCGCGGGATGAGGATGAGGAGGAGGAGGAGGAGGAGGAGGAGGAGGAGGAGGAGGAGGAGGAGCAGGAGCAGGAGCAGAAGCAGTAGCAGCAACAGAAGGAGTGAAGCAGCAGCAAGAACGAGGGGCGCGCCGCGGTCAGCTTGTCGGCGTCGCTCCGGGCCTCCTCCTCCGTCTTGCGGGGGGGGCCCCGGATGTCAACCTGCCGGCAACCGCTCCGCCCTCCCCTGTTCCTCCAATCTCCTCCCCCGTCATTCAATCCTCCTCCTCCTGCTCTTCCTTTTCCCCTCCCCTCCTCCTCCTCCTCCTCTCCTCTCCTCCTCCTTCTCCTCGCTGATCCGTCCTCCGAACCACCTGACCCTCCCCTCCCTCGTCCCTCCTCCTCCTCCTCCTCGTCTCGTCCACGTCCTCGTCCTCCTCCTCCTCCCCGCCTCCTCACCTCCTCCTCCTCCTCCTCCTCCTCCTCCTCTTTCTTCCCCCCTCACTCCTCCTCCCCTCCTCCATCCTCCTCATCCTCCTCCCTCTCCTCCTCCTCCCCTTCCTCCTCCTCCTCCTCCTCCTCCTCCTCCTCCTCCTCCCCTCCTCCCCCTCCCCCTCCCCCTCCCCCTCCCCCCCCCTCCCCTCCCGCTCCTCCTCCTCCTCCTCCTCCCCTCCTCCTCCTCCTCCTCCCTCTTCTTTCCTCCTCCTCCTCCTCCTCCTCCTCCTCCTCCTCCTACCTCTCCTCCTCCTCCTCCTCCTACCTCCTCCTCGTCACTCCCCCACACTCCCCTCCTTTTCCTCCATCCCCCCTCTGCCCCTCGCCACTCCCCATCATCCCCCCCCTCCATCTCTTCTCCTCCTCCCCGTCACTCCTCCTCCTCCTCCTCCTCCTCCTCCTCCTCCTCTCCTCCTCTCCTCCCCCACCTCCTCCCCTCCTACCTCCTCTCATCCCCTCCTCCTCCTCCTCCTCCTCCTCATCACCTCCGCCTCTCTTCCTCCTCCTACCTCCTCCGCCTCCTCCTCCTCCTCCTCCTCCTCCAATCCTCCTCCTCCTCCCCCTTCTCCTCCTTTTTCCCTTCTTCGCTCCGCCTCATCCCCCCTCGTCGTTCCTGCTCTCCATCCTCCTTCCACTCGAGGGGGCTGCCACCGGCCGCTTGGTGCCCGCGTAGTTGCTCAGGAACATCTGGATCTGAGCCTGGCGGCGCCCGAGCGGCCACTTTCTGGCCCCTCCACCCGATCCCTCCTCCCACCTCCTCAGCCCTCCTCCTCCTCCTCCGCTCCTCCACAGCCTCCGCCTCCTCCTCCTCCTCCGCCACCTCCTCCTCCTCCTCCACCTCTCTCTCCTCCGCCTCTCCACCCTCTCCGCCTTATCATCCTCCCTCCCTCCTCCTCCTCCTCCTCCTCCTCCTCCTCGCTCCTCCTCCTCCTCATCCCCTCCTCCTCCACCTGCTCGCTGCTCCTGCTCCTCCTAGCTCCTCCTCTCCCTCCTCCTCCTCCTCCTCCTCCCCTCCTCCTCCACCTCCTCTCTGCCACCACCCACCTCCAAGTCCTTCGCCTCACTCCTCCTCCTCCTCCTCCTCCTCGTCCTCGTCCTTGTCCTGCACCTCCTCCCCCTCCTCCAACTCCTCCTGCACCTCCTTCACATCGTCCTCCGCCTTTTCTCCCCCTCTTCCTCCCCTCCATTTTCCTGCTCCAGTTCCTTCGACCCCTCCACCTCCCCCGCCCCCCCTACCTCTTCCGCCTGAAAGCTTCAAAACCTGCAGGCATCAACGTGTGTGAGACGTTGTTTTTCCCCCGCAGGGCCAGTCGGCCCTGGGGCTTGATCAAACTAGTGAGCCAAGTGACCTGCGTCCTCCACCTCATCCAACTCCTCTTCCCCCTCCCCGCCCTGCTCCCCATCACGCCCCACCACTTTTCCTTATCGATAACTACTCCACCCTGTCGCACCCGAGACGCATCGGTAGGGCGGGCCGGTCGTTTCTCCAGTGACATCCTCACTTTGCAACAATTTGCGGATGGAGGACGGCTGGTTTTGAAAATGCGGCTCTCGCCTTCGCGCCGCGCACTTCGTCTTCAAGTTCGCAAAGAGCGTCGCGGATGGAGTACGCGTGGCTTTGAACATGCGTTGAGAGGCCCCACGGCACGCACGTGAAGTTTTACATATAATTCCGGCCATGTTTCCGAACATTCCGCCCGACAAATCGAATAAACAAGTCAATACTCAATGATACGTTGACCGAATACTACATATGTTTTACTATAGAGACAAGACGACGGGAGCTTAGGGCAGGGGTGTGCCCCCAAGCCTTACGCAGCCAACCCGCCCCTGGCCATTCCACAGCCGCGGGTGGCGGGCACCCTTAGGGAAAGATGGGCAGCGAGACTGGGGGCGTTTCCCCCGCTGGGCGCGTAGAGTGGATGCCTCGCGCGAGTACGTCAGCGTCTACAGTCGCCCCCCCCCCCCACCCCCCACCCCCCGTGAAGTCGAATTTGCGGCGTTTCAGGCCTTCTTGGAACACCGCGCCTCCTTGGGTCACCCTCGCGTGGGCCCGGGCGCCCTGTCAGGGTCAGTCCCTGCTGGCGAGTCGAAGGCCGGGGGCGGGGGGGGACGTGGCCGTGTCGGCACCCCTCCGGGACCCCTCGGCCGGGGCCTCTTTGACGTCGACGCAGTCGGTGGAAAGCGTTTCTTTATCTTCGGCGATGACGGGCGTCATGGGGGGGGCGGGGAGGGGTATGACGCACCGCCACCCCCCGCCGCGTGGCTCCGGCACCACAGCCGCGCCCGCGCGCACGACGACGATGAGCGACGACGACGAGCGACAAGCGACGACGCCGACGACGATGACAAACGACGACGACGAAGACGCGAGCAGAATGTAGGTGGCGATCTGCCCCACAGCGCCTGTGTACACCACAATGCTCGCGTGCACCACAGCGCGCGACCACACCATAGCGCCTGCGTACACCGCAACAGCCGTGTGCAACACAGAGCCTGTGTACACCACAGTGCTTGCGTGCACCACAGCACCGGTGTACACCACAGCGAATGTGTACAACGCAGCACCTATGTGCAACAACACAGCGACTGTGTACACAATCCTTGCGTGCACCACCGCGCCTGTGCACACCACAACGCCCGTCTGCACCACAGCATCCGCGTGCAACGCAGCGCCAGTGTACCCCACAACGCCTGCATGTACAGGACAGGTAGAAGGAACATGTAGGTGAGGATCTGCAGCGGAAACATAAACGTCACGCAAAAGAAGTGCGAACTAGAATGCGACGTGTTTCCCTCCTCCATCCTCCTCCTCCTCCTCCTCCTCCTCCTCCTCCTCTTCTCCTCTCCTCCTCCTCCTCCTCCTCCCCTCCTCCTCCCCTCCTCCTCCTCCTCCTCCTACGTCCTCCTACTCCCCTCCGCCTCCTCCTTCCCCTCCTCCTCCTCCTCCGATCCTCCTCCCACAATCCTGCACCTCCTCCTCCTCCTTCTCCTCCTCCTTCCCCTCCTCATCCTTCACATCGTATTTCTCCTCCTCCTCCTCCTTCTCCTCCTCCTCCTACTCCTCCCTCACTCTTTTCCCCCCCTGCCGTGCGGTTCGGCGGTCGGCGCTGCAGTGCACGTGAGCATGTCAAAGTGAACCGTGCAATGGCCTACTGAATCAATCCAGTCCTGGACGGCCACTTTTGCTGGAGCGTCCTGGACGCAGATGGGAGAAGCTAGGATGATGCGGGCGGACTCGGGAGGACTCGGAGATTCCAGCGGCGCTCCTTTTTAAATCCGGTGAGAACCCCGAGCCGAATGCTGCTACAGGCATGCGTGCAGGCATGCTGGCCGCCTCCGTCAGAAGGCCCCAATGCCAGACTGGAAAACCAACATCTGCCAAGCCAGCCCCCTAGGCTGGGCAGGTCCAAAGGAGGAGGAGGAGGAGGAGGAGGAGGAGGAGGAGGAGGAGGAGGAGGAGGAGAGAGGAGGAGAGGAGGAGGAGGAGGAGGAGGAAAGGAGATGAGGAGGAGGAGGAGGAGGAGGAGGAGGAGGAGGAACAAGAGCTAAGATGCGGAGGAAAACAACTGGGGGCACCTCCCGTAGGTACAGTGCTGGCCCCGCCCCAGTCCTGCACACCAGCGCCGGCGAGCGCCCGGCAGGAGGAGAAGGAGGAGCAGGAGGAAGAATAACACAACTAACTAGCAGGCGCCAACATGCAGGAGGAGAGGGAGGGCGGCAATGGCAGCAAGGCAGCAGGGGCGGGCGGGGGGCGGAGGGGGCGAGTGACGTCGGTGGAAGTCGTGGGTCGTCGTGGGTCGTCGTGGTTCAAGGGATCGTCGTGGTCGTCGTGGCGGTTGCTGGCCGTTTGGGGTCAGGCGGGGCGTCGGGAAAAGCGGGCGGGGTCGACGGCGAAGGCGGGCAGGGGGTGGTTCACACAGCATCCGCCGTGGCGGCTGCGTTGGCCGCGGCTAACCGCTCGGCCGTCGCGCCCGCTCGCGGCTGGAGGCGCCGCAGCACTGCCCGCGCATTTTCCCTGTGCAGGGAAATCGAAAACCGCTGGGCAAGCTGATCGGCCGCGAGCGCGGCGTCGTCTCCAGTAGCGTCGGCCGCGCGCTTTGCGAGCACCGCGAAGGCGCGTCGCGCCTCGCGGCCCCAACCGCCGCCGTGGGCCTCGCAGACCATCGGTATGAACGTCAGGCCGGCCTCTGAGCATTTGCGCTGCGTGTCCAAGTGCAAGCGCTTCTGCTCCTCGTAGCGGGTCGCCGCTGCGTCGCCGCCGCCCTCAGCGGCAGAAGCCGCGAGTAAGTCCGCGCGGAGGCCCGAGGTCACAGCGAAATCCCACGCCGCCGGCGTGCCGCCTCGCCACCGCGGGACGAAGACGTCCGCGGGGCGCCTCCCGTCGCCGTCCAGGTCGTCGCCGCCAGCCTCGCCAGCCGGGGGGCCCTCTCCAGGAGCGCGCGGCGGCAGCAAGCCCGGGCGCTCGAGATCTGCCCCAGCGTAGCCAGCAGCCAGTGCCTCGTGCCAGGCTTGGTTCCGGAGGCAGTTGTGGCGCTTCGTGCGGTCACCGCGGCAGCTGCAGGTGAGCGCGTGGTCTGCGAACACATCCATCACCTCCCCGCGCGCCGGGCAAAACGCCTCTTCTTCAAGCAGCTGGTGTCGAAGGCGTCGCTGCAGCGCAACTTGCATCAAGCTGCGCGGAAAGTCGGTGCCGAGCGCCCGGCACGGCGGCGCCTGCAAGTAGGCTCCAGCGCCTGGGGCCGCCACCAAGTTAAGGTGGGCCCTCGTCGCCTGCGAGGCGCGCTGCCAGAGGTCGTGGCGGACAGCGTCGTCCACCTTTCCAGAGAGGAGCCGCTGGTCTTCGTGCTGGGCGGGGTCGAAGGCGATTTGGTCTGCTGGAAGGACAGTGTGATTGTAAGCCTGCGTGGCTGCCGCCAGGCTGCCTCCGTCTCCGCCGTCGGCGTCGTTGTAGGCTCCGTAGAGCTGTCGGCAGAGTTCCGCGCTGCGGGCGCGCGAGGCTAAGTAGGCGGCCGCTGAGTGCTTCTCGGCGGAGCGGAGCCCGAGCCCGCCCCGGTTGAGCTGGAGCTGCGCTTGCTTCCAAGAGTCGTCCAAGGGGGAACATCCACTGAGCTGCTCCAGACAAGCCCGGACGGCGGAGTCCATGGTCTGCAGCGCGCCAGTCTGCGCCGTCGGCGGAACCACGCGCGCGGAGTAGCCCAGCTTGCAGTAGGAGGCGCACTGGCGGAGCAAAAGCAAGGCAACTTGGGCGTTTTCCAAAGCCCCGAGAGCCTCCAGCAGGTCAGCAGCCTTGGCCACTCTTGTCCTGGCGTGTTCCGCGCAGAAGTTGTCGTCCCCCACGGGGGCCCCCAAGAGTTCGAAGCTGTTGTCTTCCCTGAGACGGAAGCCTGGCGGGAACAAGTTCAAATCCACGCTGCTGTCCGCGCCGCTGGCAGGTACCACCTCGCACTTGCCTGGCCCAGTGCTGAGGTCCAGTCCAACTGCGGTTAAACGCCTCACCAAGTGGTGCATAAGGCGGGCTACTGCGGGCGCGTCTCCGGCCAGGCAGCCGTCGTCGAGGTAGAAGAACACCAAGTCCAGGGAGCCGACGGCAGGGTCGGCCTGCTCAGCGCGCGCCTGCTCCACGCAGCGTTGCAGTGCGAGCGCGAAGAGTAGCGGGCCGAGCGGGTCGCCTTGTTGAACGCCGCGCTCGGAGGACA